CCACCAAAACCGATATAAAGTACTGCATTTTTGGAAAGTTGTCTCACAACCTGCTTCCGTTGCTTATGGCGTACTCCACTTCATCATCTTAGGTCTTCTTTCCATCCTCATCTTTATTGACGCCCTACCAACCATATCGAGCCCTGCCAAAACCGTCTCTATATGCTGACAATTTAAAACTCACATATACGAAAAATTAATTTTATTATATTTGTGTATACCCAAAACCTGAGAAAGAAAACGGAGAAGGTGGGGCTTTCGTCCAGAGGAGTGGGGGAAAAGAGATGGAAGAAAAAGATACCTATCACCAAAAATCGCGATCCGCCCGCTCGAATTATCCTGCCCATGTCTGCATTCCTACAACAAGCAATACTTGGTTGTGTGATGCAAAAATTCCTCCAAGAATGTCACATCCAGTCGTCTGAGTACCTTCAACGACCAGGTATATCCGAAATTAGCCGCTCTTAATAGTGCTTTCATTATAAAATCTTTACAAAGTCGTAGGCCTGCGAGCTCAATCAAATTTCGCCTTTTAGTCCAGCCCGACTGATTGATAAAAGCACGGATAACACTGTTGTTCTGAGAAAACTCAAAAGTTCCGAAGATGGCATCCAAAATATCAAAGGACTTTGGATTGTTCTGCCTGTAGCATGAAGGTAGTTAAAATATGTCCGAGAATTGGCTAACAGATTGCAGTATAAAGAAAATGTTAACTTAATTAGCAAATAAGTTTGAAGGAGATGAAGCATACTACGATTCGCAAGAAATACGATTAACGTAACCTACCTCTTTATTTTCATTTCAATTCGTCCCACTTGAATCATGCATTCATGTTTGTAGAATTGCTTGTGTTCAAAGAAGCGGGATGGCCTGCATGCTATTGTTGTTAGGTTCGTCAGTTCCATTTTCACATTTGCTGTCTTCCCACCGTCATAAGACACGTTGAAATTCGGATTAAAATTCAAGTCCTTGAAAAAGGAGTCCACAGTGTCCTGAACCATTAATTCACCATTTTCTCTAAGACATTCTTTCCCTAGGCATATTTAAAACACAAAGTATTAGGAGGGGCTTGGCTTATTTAAATAATTTAATTGAGCCAATTGTGAGATATGTGTGGCCTCGGTGGGATTCGAATTCACATCAGCAGAGAAGGACAGCCAACGCTCTACTACGTGAGCTACGAAGGCACGCCGAGAGGCGTGATTTCAATTCGAATGCCACCGAGGCCATGAATTTTAAAACACAAATATGGAAATTAGAACAAGCAACATCTGGCGATAATGTATGCTTCAATGTTACCTTACAGGCTAAGTTATTTTGTCAAGTAAAAGGAGATGCTGCATTAAGTACATAAAAGTAAATTATCACGTACCAAATTCCCTGAAGCTGAAAAAGCCAAGACTAATGTAAGCGAATGTGCTGAGGAGAAGTGCAAACATCGCGCAGCAGCTGTGCCAACAAAACTACAAAGTCTGTTTTATGAGAGCTTACAGGTATACTTATGAGTTCAGTGCCACTGAGAGCAACTTTGGTCGCATTGGTGGATAAGATATGTCCCGCCACGATTTGCCTTTGTCTTGGCATTTCTGCTGTACGTTGGCAAGTACAGTAGGTTGGCTAAAACCTGAAAAGTGCTCAGGTTCACGGGGTCAGGCAAACCAAACCAACTGAATCGACGAAGTAAATCAGTAAAACTGGGTGATAAATATTCAGAGTAAAGCCCAAAGTATTAACAAAACTAATATTGTGTTGTTAAATATAATAAATTTTTGGGAAAACACGAATAAGCCAAATGGCAAGCATTCATGGGATGCGTAAGGATAACTGTTTTATGTGAGGGGGGGGGTACTACTGGCCTGAAGAGTAAAATAGCATAATTGCAAACCTGTTTGCTAAAGCGAACTTATTCAATCCAACTACTCACTCCCATCCGTCAGTTTGCATGGCAGTTGCTTGATATTAAGCAACTTTTATCCAAGTCCAGTTTGGTGAATTTATTTCATTTTAAATAAATAAATTTTTTTATTTTAGGCCCGGAGGGTCTAGGCATTACAACTTTACCGTTGTGGTAAAAATAAATAAAAAGTGGATAATTGCTGCTCTGTGTGAGAAACAGCGAAAGTTTTTAGTGTGATAGGCAGATAGTTTGCATACCCGCCAACGTATCGTCATTCTAAAATAATTGTCAACACTCTCTGAAACGTATGATTTACTAAGGGGGAGCCAGTAAAAAATCTCCTAGCAAAAAAGCGGAGGCCGATTTCAGCGGACCCCACTTTATGAAAATAAAACGTAGGAGAACGAAACTGTTTTTTATAAAAATCAAGAGGTCGGTTGATCGACTTTTTGCGATACCGTGAGACAGGACTTTTGATGGGAGCGTGCGAGGGTTCGAAACGCTTCTTTTTGTTGGAGAAATCATATACCAGCGGAGGCTACTGTTCATCGCCGTAAAACCCTCCGTCTTGTCACAGGATCAACCATCAGAGAGGTTAGACAGGAAGAGATCACCGCTGAAAACAGGATCGGGAGGATGAGGAAAGAGTAAGGATCACGAGATAATCATCGAAATGCCGGACATGCGACCCTGCGGACTGCAGAGTCCACCAGCAAGCTGGAGAAAACAGAAGGCCGCAACAAGCATAACGAGAGACCACAAAGCCCATCGTCAGTGTTTCAAACAGAGGACAATGAAAGTTTGTCAACAGCTGGCAATAATTTTTGGAAGCAGTGTCTGACAAATCGTCGTTGCAAAGAGCACTCTATAGAGGATAAACGAGATATAGAGTGGATTGCCCATCTGATAAAATCTAAGGATTTTTACAAAGCAGAAGTAGCTCACAATGCGTGCCCCAACGTCTTACAGCAAAATATAGTGGGCGTTCTTGAAAATAGGGTATATTGCGATTTATCAAGTTCTATTACATTGGTAAGAAATACCAGCATTTTTGGAAAAGCAGAAAATTTCGAAAAAACCCAGATTAGGCCTGCTAGGTAAACCCGATTTTTAAATGTTGAGGAAACCTGTTCATGCAAAACGACCGAGTAAATAAAGCATTAAAAATAGAAGTTCGTTGAATATTAACGGTTTTGTATAGTTTTCGGATACATATGCTTCCATATTACGTGCAGTGTAATGTTTGGCTGTTACCAAACAGTCCAAAATTCGAGTATATATTCCAGCACGGTTTCACCAGAATTGCCAGTTGTTTCTTCCGTTACATTACACTAAGGCAACCAAACGTTCACTTGATTGTACGGATTGTGAAGTCACGGGAGTAAGGTATCCCATAAGCTTACTTGCGCACATGCCGGTCTGTAACTAATAAATTCAAAAGGATTGTCAGGCCAACCGTAAAAGTATAATATTAGGCACATTAAGAGAAGTACATTCTGTTACACTTCATCGTTATTTTTTCGGGATGTTGATTACGACGAGGTTCAGATCGTTCTTGAATACTGACTAACCCTTTACGAGTTTCACTGGCTTCGGTTGATTGGCCACAAATGCGGCTTATATTCTACGTGCTTACCAAAACATTCAAAATAAGATATTTATTAAACGCGTTTACCTAAATTGTGAGTTTTGGGGCATTCTTTCTAATTTTTCTGTTTGCCTGGGGCAGCGTTTCAGAATCACCCAAAAATATGCACACATTGCCGAGAAAAATAAGCATATGCAATATTAGTCCCAAACTAATATGCCCAGAATCAATCAGTAAACTTTCTATCACATCTAATCTCTGGACGTCAATTAGCAGCGTACTTTAAATTTTCGAAGTTGAACTCAAGGTAAAAATTACAAAGTGTGACTGGTTTTTGACTTCCCTGTAAACTGGGAATAAACTGCAGCTGAAGGCGAAGGGGCTCACGTTTCTTTGTATCCTGGAGCAGTTTTCAGGATATATCTTTAATTTAAGGCCCCATTCTAAGATTGAAAATACACGTTAGAGTAGCAGAAAGTGTCGTATGATTTTGCGAATAGTGAGAATCTTCTACTCGTTCAGTTTCAAGTTTCCTTTTTCGTTCATACTCGTCTATATGATAAAAGTGTTTAGATATCTTTTCATACGGCCTGACAGGGGCAATTGACAGCTCATACATATCCTCGTTTATATTCCTTATTGTCGGCGTGGTAAAACAAACTACAGCCTTATAATTTTATTACGTAATTTTACTGCACAAAACCTGGCAGGTTTACATAACAGAATTTTTCTTAAACTGGATGCGTTCTTCACTTCCTGAACGCAGTGCGTTATCTCATACTCGCACCTACCTCAATTTCATGAAAGCAAAACTAAATGTTCCGTTCTCTGAAAAGATGAACTTTAAACGTTTCTGTTGTTTACTAATATTCTATTATAGTGCAACATGCTAGCAAGAAGTTAAGGTCCGCAGCCTGTAGTAGCGTAGGAAATTCCCTAGCTATCAGAAAAAATTGGATGTTGCCAAATTCGGCGCCTAATTCCCTTCAATATACTGAGATGAGATGAAATATTTTCTGGCAAACAGTATTTTATGTTTTAGGTCAATTCAAGAAATAAAATAAACAAACTTAAATGGATGTTGAACCATCCACCTAATTTCTACTTTCGAATGTTATCAATTGGGCAATCTACTGTTAATGGAAAACAATTTAAATCTGATGTCCACAATCGTATCCGCAGGTTCGAAGTAATACTCACCGACCTTCGAAATTAGTGCACCTTAGCCTTACCTGAATATGTACTCGGTGATGTACAGCAACGAATAACCGCCACCACAAAAGATGCGGGATGGAAGAGAAGAGGTGACCTCCAGGAGGAATTCCAGTCGCTATGCGTCCCACGAGCGAAAATAAGATGGCCACGCGAATTGTGAACATTTCGAAAAGGAACTCCACACTGGCATAAATCAGCCTTTTATCTAAAAGAGTAAGATTCAATCACACTGATGCCACTCCTAACAACTTGATAGCAGGCCTAGAATCCATTCGTCTAACCTAGACCCTTCCTCAAGACATGCGCAAGGATAAAAGCAACTGTGCCACTGGTATCCTTCACAAGAAAAGACACCAGAAGACCCTATTGGCCAAATAAACGCAAATATTTCGATCACTAAAATCTGACCAGAGCGTCCTTATTGTTTCCGCGGACAAAGGTGGCGCTACTGTCATCATGGACAAAAGGATTAGCTCAACAAGGCGAATGCAATCTTTACTGACGCAGACGCTTTCACTCTCTTCGCCGAAGATCCGACGAAGAAGCAAGCTGCAGCCATCAAGAAGAAGATTAAGCAGCTCGCCCGCCAACAAATGATAACACCAGACGACGCCAAGGGGATGATCCTCGATGATTACCGCATCGGACGTGCATATGGTCTCCCAAAACGGCACAAACCAGATGTCCCACTACGGATCATAGTACCATTCATCGAGTCACCCACTTACAATATGGCAAAGTGGTTGTGCAGGGATTTGAAACACCTAACCCATGGATCAGAGTACAGCATCAACAACTCACAGTTATCCTTTCCTAGGATGCATGACCGCAGAGTAAGTAATGATGAATGTCTCCTATCTTTTGACGTAGTTGCCTTGTTTTCGTCCATATCACACGACTTAGCAATTGATTGCGTAGCCCAACGTTTACAGGATAATCCTATCGAGCTCCTCACACAGTACACTATCGAAGTGCTCCATCTCTGACTTAGGAACTACTGTCAATTCGACAGTTAAAGGGAACCCCAATGGGCTCACCGATCTCAGGAATACTGGTAGAACTCATATAACGGCGATCAGAGGATGAGGTTTTTCAAACCCTTTAGCCCAAAATTTGGCTCCGTTATGTAGATGACACGTTTGTCACAATAAATAACAACGATGCCAAAATGGTACACCAGAGACTAAATGAGGTCTTCCGAGCCATACAGTCTACTCATGTAGGCGCAGTAGGAGACTCGCTGCCTTTTCTCGATGTTAGAATACAGAAACTGAGTGATGGCAGTCTAGCCAAAAACGTCTATAGGAAAGGATCAAATGCGGATATTATCCTAAATTATGGCAACAACGACCTCGCAGTTCCGAAAAGAAGTTGCGTCCAAACTCTGTTCCACCGCACTTATCGCAATTGCAACGGCGATGATCTCTTCAATGATGAACTCGCTTACCTTTATCAGTTGTTTCAATCTGATGGATATTCGATGAGTTTCGTCAAGAACTGCCTCAGCGTCAAGCACAACTGAAAGCTCCCAACCCCAACGGTGAAGAGACTACGCGAATATTCTACTCCCTTCCTTGTATGCAGGAAACTATCGAAGTAATCTGTAGACAGTTGCATTCCTTCGATATCCACATCTGGTACAAACCAGCGTTGTCAGTATGCGCAGCGCTATCACGTACAAAGCATCCCATAGCAAAGGAACAACCAGATAACGTGGTTTATCGCATATCGTGCGTATATAGCTCTTGTGCGTATGTTTATCACACAGGTCGACTCCTTAGTACCCGTATCAAGAGAAATAAATTAGCCGTCCCTTGAATGGACCACCTGTCCCTCGTCTTCGCACAGGCAATTGAGCGCGACAATCAATTTAATTGGGATGACATGGAAATCGTCGCCATAGCCAACAGAAAACGAGCGCGTGAATTCCCCGAGGCTTGGTACTCTACGGCGGGCAGTATCAACCGGCACGTTTATTTTAAGGCCGAATGCTGTGGCTTAAGATCAAGACGTAGTGTCTCTCGTCCTAATCGTACATTGACGACCACTAATCCAGATACCTCAACGTCTACCGACTCACCATCTGCCCCTCCCCCCTTCCAATCGCACACCACCCACAAACACGCGGGCTCACAAACCACGACTCACCTCACATGCCTCTGGTCACGCTCCTTTATTCGATTAAATTGTCCAGGGTAACCTGACTCTCACTTCCTTCTATTTCGTCTGATGAGGAACCAACGTCATCAGCTTGAAAATTCACATAAGCAAATCTTGTTTTTTTCCGAAGAACCTCTTCTTTTCTTCATAAATGGAACCGCCTCAAACACCGGAAGGACCCTTTTCAAAGTCAACAAGTTGTATTTTTGGGATGGAGACGGAAAATGAGGACTCTGTATCTTTCGAAGCTAAATGTTCACATGATTTGGCTTTGGAAACCACTTATGAAGACAATTGCCTAATTTCGAGAGAAATATTATTCCAGAGGAAGATATTTTTTGGGATTTATTTTTTTTAGCGCTAATCAAATGCAGTATTGGAAAAAAATATATGAAGATGTGCACAGATGAGATGTACAAACTTATTATAATATCAGCACAAATTGTCCTTTTAGGAGAATATTTGGCGATGTTTCGCAAGTAATGTTTGAGTATAGAATTGGCAGCTAAAAAAAGTCTTACAATGAAAATGGAGGCAGAGGTTAACGGGCCTCCATTTTCAAAAAGTGTGTAGAAGAATAAAACGCTTAGGGTAATAAGATAGAGATGCAGAGTAGGCTAATGTGATGATGAACTATGTGTATAGTTTGCTTGTGGTCGCTAAAGGAATGATACTATATCGATGAAGAAGAAAGTGGTTCGAACACCGGAACTATTTGTTTGTTATTCTGAGCTTTCGGACTCCTACAAGAATCCATCATCAGAGAGAGCGAAAACAGCAACAAATGGGGGGCTATTTAAGGTGTGTGTACAAAACAAAAATTTGACCGCACAGAAAATCAACAATTGTCTGGTGTGGGGCACCGATTGGCCACTGCGGACTATGTTAGTCTGCGCCAGTAGGCGAGCTCGGCGTGTTGGGTGAGAATGTTTACAGAAATAAAATCGTCAGCGAAAACAAGCGGCCTTTAAAAGGGGAAGGGTCAATTAAACGTCATAAGTAGGGGGGGAAGGAGGGGAAGGGGACCAATTAACCACCAGTTCCGTGAGTCTGGAGCTACCTTCACAGGGCAGCATATGCGGGCACCAGCTCGATACATCTGTTGACTGAATTCCGTCCGTGGACCAGACTTCAATCAGTTCTCGGCCCGTCTTGCTGCCAGCGTCGGCAATTATCCTCGCGGCTGCTAAGTTGAACTCGTGCCCTATCTCGTAGGTGTGCCACCCCATCGAACAGCCAGCTTGTGTTCATTTTTGCGTGAACCGAACATGCGTTCAGTTAGGACTGTGCAATTACACGGAGAGATTAGGCATGGAATGCGATAAACTACTCCAAATTGTTCATCCTGCGTAAGCCTATCTTTTATTTTCATCACCCTGTTGTGAATGGTAGCGTGTGCAATTCCAACACCTAGTTCCGCGGCGATGCGCTCCGATGCGACGGAGGTATAAAACGTATGTGGCGGAAGGAAGTTTCTCTTAGTGTACAAAATACGCTACTTTTACAATTGCACCTGGCGATTCCATTTATATTTTTTAGTTACTGACTGGCATGTCCGCACGTGAACTTACGAAATATTGTACTCCTGTGACCTCCCAATGGGCAAAATCAAACAAAAGGGTGGTTACCTATATCCAAGGTAACTTAAAAATGTATAAACATGAGAAAAACCACCAATTCCCCTGAAAACATATTGGAATACATACTCGAAATTTGGGGCTGTTCGCTTACAACCAAACGTAATATGGAAACATTTTTATCCGAAATTTCTCTACGTGTGCTACTTTATATTTTTGGTGTTTCTGTATAAAGAGGCTTCCTCTACATTTAAAACTTGGGTTTAACTTACGCGCCCGATTTTGAAATTTTGGAAATTTTTCGCTTTTCTAAAAAAGCTGGTACTTCTTTACAAAGGAGAACTACTTGATAAATTGCAATAAGCCCTATTTTGAAGAAAGAATATAACTTTATTACTGTAAGAGTTTGGGAGCCACAGCTTAAACTGCGTTTCAGTAACAGGGAGTTACTTGTAAAATTCTTTGGATTCCATGAGTTTTGCAACCTACTGTATCTCACAAGAACGTTCCCGCTTCATTTGAATTGGTGGTTTCTATTGTGCACCGTTGATTTGTATTCTATTTCATATCTGTCGGAACATAGTCTCTGCCTTCCGCGGCAGGTAACACTCACTATGGATTGGTCTTTCAGCTGCCTCTTCAAGTTCTTTAGTCTATGCACAAGTAAGAGAGGAATGGTGGTTTTGAAATCGAAGGGTTTAGTTGACACACCTTCCAGGCTGTTATTAGAACCGACCGGCAGGAAGACACAAAGACTTGCTGCCTCGTTCATGTAGGAGAGGTTCTGTCAGTTCGACGAGTCAATCGTCTGTGTTGTCAAATGTCATAGTAGGTAAGAGCAGTGTTAGCCTTTTTTGAACAGACAAGCGGAAAACAACAGTGAATAATTGCATGGTAACTTTGGTTATTGTGTTTATTAAAGGTAATGAAGAAGAGAGCAATACCATTTGTAAAAATCCGATCAAAATTATGACTGTCTCTTATTGGGGAGCGGATCAGGTTAGACCAATAAAAAATAGTAGTTTCGGGGAGAGGCTGAAATTTAGGTGGCTACGACGCATTTCCGAACATATAGTATATGTCAACGTTTTTTGTGAGACATTCCAGCGTTATATAGGTAACGCACATTTTGGGCGCAGTCAAAATCGCTGAATCACGGGAAAACTTAAAACAAGGTCTTTCATTTGCAGTCAATATTTTCTTTGTTTTTGTTTTATGATTGATCCATAGTGTGCAAAATATAGAGTTTGCTTACTGGTAAAATAGACTTGGATTCAAAGTACAATAATATCGGAATATGGAACAAAATAGTTATAAAGTATAGGTATTAATGTTTCGCAGTAATAATAGTTTGGATCCAGAAAAAATCTGTCCTTTATGAATTTTCGATTTTTAATTTGACAGGCTAACTTGGTCGCGGTTGGTTTGCAGAGCATGCCTATCGAAGCAGACGCCAGCGCCTCGTTCGGACGTGGAGATATGCCGAAACGGAGTTTAAATTCATTCGCATATATGAATTTTGGAAGTCCTCGCATTTGGACAGAAATCGAGCAAAGACTCTTTGAATTGTTTCTGGTTTCTTCCTGTCAGCAAACGACATGATAACAAAACATATTCAACAGTACTCAAGAGTAGGTGAAAGTACCTTTTATAAAGATGCATCGTAAGCGCAGCTACAGTGTTATTTTTGATATCTATCCAAATAAACGAGTGGCTTTTGGCAAAATCTGTTTTAAGGGGAATATAAGTCTACTTTATTTGAGCAGTTCATTCCTAAGTCTTTTACTAACTGGGATTCTTTTATTTCTTTATCATCAAAAAAGAATGGCGCTTTCGTGGATAGTTTGTTGGGGTAAAAGGCATTTGCCATCGCTTACTCCATTCATTAACACTTCTAAAGAAGTGTTTAATTTTCAGTTCGTTAAAATGAACTGAAAACTATAATAAAACTAATATAAAAATAATGCAGGATAACATACACGTGTCCCCAAAATGTATACACATTTTAAATAATGGTAAACTTGATTTTTTTATAATTTTATTATTTAAAAAATGTAAAGCATTTACAAGTATCATTTTATCGTTTTCTCACTGCATGTACTCAAACTGCGTCCAGTTTGATCCAAACACTGCTAAAAACCAGAAGCAATGGAATCGCACGCATCACGAAAACATTCCCTTGCTACAGTACGCACCAGAATTCGTGCAAGATGCCGACATATGCAAAAAATTGATTCTCTTTCGCTAATCGGCATTGACTTAGGTTGTAATATCGCTTATCACATAGTCTATCCTGAAGTTATTTCACTCATAAAAGGATTTCGGCTTCCTAACGAGTTTGCTTCTGACCGCTAACAAAACACATATGCTGTAAAAAGTAACTGCTTAGATAGTATGCGTTTTTATCGTTGATTTTGACTGCCTTTATAAATTCAAATATATTTTATGGAA